ATTTCAGGTAAGCATATTGAGCTGCAGATTTTCCCTCAGGGAACATTGGCATGGAAAGCATTACAGTAATTTTCCATCATAGAGCTCTACAATAATGTAGATTTCAGGAAAGAAGCATGAAGTATTTTTTTAATAACGTTTCCCAGGAGATTTTCCCAGGGACTTAGAGACCTACACTGCCCTTTTGGGGCCACTACATTTTCTAATACCACATACTCTCAGCCAGAGTTCCTTTCAATCAGTTGAGCATGTCCTGAGAAAACACACAACTAGTTGTACTTCCAGTGCTGTAAAAAGGCTAACATCATTGCTGAGATTTAAAGAACTGTAGGACAGCGCCACTCTTTTCACTTGTTTAGATGAGAAGCCAGTAATTGTGATTTCCTTTTCTCACTGTAGCCACATCATTAAATCAGTCATTTTCCCTAACTGTGGCCAAATAACTGAATCATTCATTGACTTAACTTGGATCTACATTAAGTCAAAATGATGGATGCTTTAGTCATTCCTTTTATAGATAGAGAAATATCCTCAATGCTTTGAAGTCATCTCTTTATTCTAAAAAAAAAAGAAAAAAAAGTTTTGTTTTTTTTCCCAAGCCCCAAAGTTCAATTATGGCTAACTAACAGCAATTTAAATAGCATTTTAACTAAATAACCTTGGCTTCTTGGCTTCCAACAGGGGCACTTCTAAAGTAAATCTTCCTTGGTTAACAGCTGTCAACTGTCAATGAGCTAAAGGTAATTAAATTTGAAGATAGCTTTATGGCTCAGAAAAATAGATAAAAATCCTTGGACCAGAAAAGTCTTAAGTTAACACAGTTATTGCTCCCTGTGGTATTTGAATTAATGCAAGAAACTGATTATTTTCTAATGAAACACATAGAGGAGAATTGCCATTGTTTGTTGCTTGCAGGTAAAATTCAATTTAGGCTATTTTCCTTACTAAGATCACACTCTTGATTTTACTTTATTATAGATTAGGAAGAAAAGGGGGAAAAAGCAGTATTTTTTTTTTTTTTNACTTTATTATAGATTAGGAAGAAAAGGGGGAAAAAGCAGTATTTTTTTTTAAAAAGAGGCAAACTAAACAAATCATGGTAGAAAGGGTGAAAAGGTAGTAGTGGCTTTGAACACTCCAAAGACATACCAGTTAGTAATGGTTTCATCAACAGGAAATGAAAACCTCAATTCAAGGTACCTAAGAAATGTGAGGATTTTTTTGAATAACAAGTAGTTCAGTTATAGAGTAGTTCTAGGGTTTGTTTGGAGGTTAAATGCTTTCTTAAAGAACTGAGTTTGTGGGGGTTTTCCCTAAATTTCTTCTTGCCATTCTCAGCTAGCAGTCTTCTTGGTAGCTGCAAGTATAATATGCTCACATACCAATGTCCAAAGGTAGAAAAAGAAACCACCTTTTTCCAGTGCTACTTTTTAAGATCCAAGAAACTTTTTCAATACCCTGCAGAAGGTTTGTCTTTAAATCTCATTGACCATAACTAGTCACAAGGCCACATTTAAACCACTCACTGGCTGGGGGATGAAACCACTATGGTTGGCATAGACCAGCTCTGCCAGCAGAGAAGAAAAGAAAAATATGTGTTAGACAAAGGTCAGCTGTGTCTCCTGCTGAAAGGAACACACATTGATCCTCTGTGTGTACTGGTAGACCATCCTTTGAACTTTGTTGTAATATAACCAATTTATAGATGAGGAAATCAAAACTGGGAGAAGTGAGGTAGCTTTCTTAAAGTAGCAGACCTCCTAAGTGATGAAGCTGGGATTTCAACTCACAATTATCCAACTCCAGATCTGTAGTCTCGCCACAATACCACATTGTTGCCTTACATCATGACTCACAGGTTCAGTTACAGAGCTGCTGTTTTTAGATCCAGCCCTCAATTCATCTTTATGTTTTGCTTTTCACTTCAGACTTACACTTCATCAGACCTACCTATTTGCTCTCAGAGCTTCACATAATCCACAAGCAGAATTGGAAAGCCCTGCCTGCAGATTTGATATTCCTAATGGCAAATTGGTTATCTAATTTTACATGTTCATAGGACAGCTCTGTTTTGATTTCAACTTAAACTATCAAGACTCAAGGAATCTCTCTACCAAAGAAATTTTGAATCCCCCCAAAGTGGTAAAGGCATGTACACTTATTTCTCCTGTTCTTAGTTTACAACTCTGGGAGTGGACATTTATGTCTTCCATTTGTCTCAAGCCCAACCTCATATAAAAACATTTCTAACCTTTTGTGTGTTCCTCACATCAGCTTTCTTTTCACTTCTAGCATAGCAGGTCTTTATCAGCATCATCTCTGAAACAGCATCTGTTAGTTTTCCAGTCGCACATACTCCAAAGTTGTTCTGCACACTCAAAAAAATTACTTCTCTTAAAAAGAATTTTATTATTTTACTCTCTTGCTCAAAGAATTTGAGTGGATTATTCTATATGTGAAAAAAAATTAAATATATGAATAAATATAAATCAGAAAATTTAGCCCTCCATATTTTCTCCCCATGTAAAAATTTGTTCTTCTTATTTTGCTGACAAAAGCTTGATGTCTTGTCCAAGGACATAATACATAACCAATGTCACTAGAGGACAGACACTCTTTAAAACATTTGATGTATATTAACAATTATACCTACAAAACCTCTATGATGTAGGTACTGTTACTATCCTGACTTTACAGATGAAAACACTGCAGTACAGAGGGATAAAGGCACTTGCCAAATACATAAAGAAGTAAAATGGCAGAGCCAGGATTCAGATGCCAGTGGATGATCCCAAGAGGCCACGAACTCAGTCACGTTTTACTTCTTTAATCCATGTATTTTACTGGAGAGTTATTTATTGAAGAGGTATGCATTGAACATCTACTCTGCACTGTAAGCTGTACTCCTATGTTTTACAGAAAAATTACACAACCATGAATCTTCTCCATAGGATGAAAAGCAAGTTTTATAAAACACCCTGGATTTTAGGCAAAGTCAAGGAAGCCTGTGACTTATACAGCCTTTGAGAGACATTTGTTAGATTCTATATTCTCTCATGTTCTGAACCCTTGTAATTTTTCCCTATTTCAGTAAAAAGCTCTGGTCTAGCAGGGGTTGACATTTTTCCTGATGACATCCCACCACACTTTCTTCTTCTCCTCCTGAAGGAAGTTTCTGAGCCAGTGACACAACCACTGCTAACAATGTCGCCTGTCTATGATCCCTAGCGAGGCTCGGTAACTATGTTAGCACACCTGCACAGTGCTCAACATCTCAAAACCCTCCTTCCAGAGATTTGCCATCTAGTCTCTTGCTTAAATTATCTTTCAATGTTTTTTGTTCTTATATCCTTTCATGATTGACTTCTCAAGATTCTTCTGAAATATTTTTTCTAACTTCTTAATGGTTTCTTTCACATAAAAAGTTCTATACTTTATTGTCATATGGAAAGAATATTAGAGCCTATGTTTTAAGATCATGTGTAATTAATTTTAGGGATATAGTTCCTTAAATTAACAAGAAAGGTAAAAAGTAGGAAAGTGTATATTTTATTTAGCTCCATATGTCCTTCTTATAACCAATGATTCAAACTTGATAATACTAACAGTAATAACTATTAGAATTTATTGAATACTTTCTCTGCCACTCATTTAAAATATTTACATGTATTAAATCAATCAATTTTTATGGAAACTTGTGGTAGAAGATACTTGTTTTTAAAAATGAGGAAATTATGATACAGAGAAGTAACTTGTTCAACATCACAGGAAGTTAGATTCCATAGCCTGGCTTCATAATCACTAGGTTACTCCCATGGCATTTTCAGATTATTGGCTAGGTATAAAACTACTTGAAGGATATTATGGCAGACATTCTGAACCAGTGTGAACAGAAAACAGGTTAAATATGTGACTTCTCTATCGTCACATATAAGATATAGCCCAAGTGCTCACAGAATGTAATTCATAGCTTCCTACAAGAATTCTTATAATTTCCAATTTTGGTTTAAGTCAAATCACAGCCCTATCAGAATTTCTAGAAATGTATTTGTGATTCAGTGACTAAAAATTAAGAAATAATTCATCATTGAAACAATAATCCCAGAAAGCAGATTCTTGTAGATTTTCACTCTCTTAAAATCATAATTGAAAGAACAAAGAAAATCTGAACTCTTTGAATGGAAAAGTCTTAAGTTGTGCAAAAGAACATTTTGACTGGAAAGAAAATTGAACCTGCTATAATTGTTACTGATCTTTGTATTGTCATGGTGCATTATCTTCAAAGTTCAGCTATACCCGCATATATTTAATGGAAAGGAAGTAAAATGAGCATGAGTCACTGAATATTGAGATGCTGAAATCCAAAAATTCAGATCATCTGAAAATTTATTATTTTTTCTTCTAATATATACATAAACATTTAAATGACATTGCCTTTTGAGTGAGGTATAATGGGATAAATAGGTTTCTTTTGAGTAATTTATAGAAAAATATATTAAAATGGTTAGAATTATGTTGGAGGAATAAGGTAAATATTTGGAGTAGGAAATAATTCTAAAATGATGTGCTGAGTCCAACACTAAAACATTAAGACAGGCTAGGAAGATATTCACACTGCTATTGTTTATTTGTTTGTTGGGCTTTGTTTATGTTTTAATCTGCTAATTACTATATATCTTTGGTTAATATGTTTTAACTGGTCTTGAGCTGATGATAGCCAGGAATAAAATGGACTTGAGATTCTTGCAAAATGTGAATAATTTTGTAATCAAATATCATCACCATAAACTTTAAAATTGCATTTTTTGATTTATGTTTTATTTCAGAGACAATAAAAAATATTCACTGAAACACTTCTATTTTAAAATTAATTTATTATTGTAGGAGGAAAATGTATCTTTACTTTTTTGGAAAATATTTCTGTGAGATAATTTTTATTAAAAATAATAGAATCCTGGAAACAAGATACTCTGTTCTCACTGTGTTGTTCACTATTTCAGAGCTTCGAGAAACCAAGACCTTTGAATACTTCAGCCTTTCTCACCATCCTTTAGACTACAGGATCCTATTAATGGATGAAGATCAGGACCGGCTATATGTGGGCAGCAAAGATCACATTCTTTCCTTGAATATTAACAATATAAGTCAAGAAACTTTGAGTGTAAGTGTGTTACTTTCATGAGGGCAATGTTGACCCTCCTAGGTGCTTTTCTCTTTAAAAATTTCAAATACAATACAAAATTCTGTATTTTGTTATGATAGAAAACAATGGCCACATAGTTATAAATAATTGGAAGTTAGTAGTTATTTAATGGACTGAAAATATAATCAATTCAATTCTCTTTGTCTAGTTTTATAGTTTTGAACAATCTAAAATCTGCAGCTAAATGAGAAAACACTTCCTGCTTATACATATATAGAAAGGGAAAAAGAGAAGCATGGAGTATAACATGAAAAAATGATCATGTTAAAGGAAGACCTACCTTGTAATTTATTTGTAATCCAAGAAGACCTTGGAAGAAACACAATTACTCAATGCACTGTTCTTTGAACAATGTGGCCAGTATTTATCATTCTGTTTCCCAATAAGGAAATAAATTGAGCTTCACTGGAGTAAAGAATTAAAAGCAGATTAATTATAAATGTATTACAGCAAGGAGATTTCCAAACTTGTTATTTTAAGAATGGGCAACAGACAATTAAAAAAATAATCATCAGTACCAGGGCTTAGCCAAGGCTGTAATGACTTGGGATGCTAGTACAGTATTTCAGAGCCGGAATCTCGTGGATTTTATCCAAGTTTTTTTAACTTTTGATGTACCTAGGGGCCCATTTTAACTAAATTTACCAGCCTGGCTGTGTAGTTTACCCAAAATAATATTAAACTTAGATTGCAATGTAAGTGTAAATTCATTATGATATAAGCAGTTGGGAAAAGTGTACTATAAATCCAAAGGGGTGAAATATACATTATATTGTACACATTAATATTAATAATGACCTCATTTTAATATTATATCATTAGTAAGTGGGCACATATTGAAAGGCTTTTGTTAAAAATAAAAGTTGATGGAAGGAATAACAACATAAGTTTTAGAATAAAATAATAAAATCTTCATTAATTTAAGTTTATAAAATGAAAGAAGATAGAAGTTTGAAATATAAATATAAAAATACCTTAAAGAAATCCGTTAGCACAAAGTAAATGAAGAACATTGAGCTGTCCTATGCACAGTGAGATTTATACAATCTCTATTTTTCTTTCTGAGCAGGTTTTCTGGCCAGCATCTACAATCAAAGTCGAAGAGTGCAAAATGGCTGGCAAAGATCCCACAGTGAGTGCTTTAAAAAAACCCAAAACTTAAATATTTGGTCTTCGAATTCATGTACCTTGAGTGCAGCCAAGAGTGAGACAACGGGTGTTGGTGTTTTAAGTCCTCTGCCGGACACATGGTAAAAAATGTAAATACAGAAAGATTGGAACTCTTAAACATTGTAATTTAGGAATTCCTGACTGGGTAAAAATTTCCTGGCTTGCTTTCATTATTGCACCCTGACACTTTTCATGATGGATTTCAGTAATAACCCTGTTCCAAGAGGATCCAACCTGTGGAATTCTCAGCAGGCTGCTGAAATAATGATAATGCAAGAATCTGCATCAACTCCCAGATGCCAGGTGGGCTTTTCCTAAGAAAGGTCCTCAGCAAAAAGGCTGTGGCTAGTGGCACATTCCAGAGGCATAAATCACCAGTGATGGCTGGTATCTTTGTTAATTAAAAATAACCATAGAAACAAAAATCAAGACAGGTATAAATATCAATACATTTTCAGTGTGAAACACTTGTACAAATTGTGTTCCTTTAGGTACGATTCCATAAAGAGTTAAGGAATATATCCATATTGATTTCTACTAATGACTTGCTGAAACTGACAGATTATTCTTGACTATTATAAAAGAAATACATGGAGGAAATCTTTAATGTGCACAAGTCATTTACTGTTTAGAATGAAGCATATATGTCATTTCATCTTACCTCAAATCATAAAAAATAACATAAAGGATCCAAACATTGAAATCACTACACTTATATAAATAATTTGGTAAAGAAGTTTCTTTGTCTTTTTTATCCTCACACAAGGATATGTTTATTGTTTTGAGAGTGAGAGGGAGGGGGTGAGAGAGAGAAAAACAACAATGTGAGAGAGAAACATTGATTAGTTGCCTCCTGTATGTGCCCCGACTAGGAGTCGAACCCACAAACTTCTGGTATATGGGATGATGCTCCAATCAACTGAGCCACCCAGCCAGGGCAAGAAGTTTATTTATTTATTCATTCTTTCAATCGTTTATTCAACAAATATTGATTGAGCACCTATTGTGCATCTGACATAGTGTTAATTGCTAGAAATACAATTTTGTGCCAAAATAGACATATTTGACTCTCATCAACTTTATTATCTTGTTGGAGAAGTCAACATTAATCTAATAAGCATGGAAATACATGCTAATGCAGGTGTGAGATTGAAATATGGTGATTGGGTAGCAAAACTAAACAATGTACACACACACACAAAATCAGGTCTGAGGTCATGACAAATAACAGCCTCAACTTAGTGTTGACAAAACATAAGTGTGTAGCATTATAAGTGTAGAGGTAAGAAATGCTGATTTCAGAAGAGAAGGCTGTGCATTGAAACTTTGTAGTAAGCATTTCAGAGATTCATCAGGTTGGTTGAGAGAAAAGACTAATCCTTGTGGAAGGAGAAAGTGTGAAATGAAATTTTTATTTTCAGTAACTTAACAGTCCCAGGTTTCAGGTTCTGAAAAAGTCAGGCTCAGTGCAGGTCCATGGAAGAACCTGGAGTGTTGAATCTCTAAATCTCACTGGAAGGTGTTTTTGGCAGGAGAGCTCATCAGGAGTGACTCAGCAATGGGTCTTACTTTTTCAGTTTCATAATTCATCTTATAAGAGAAATTTTAAAATGGCCAGAAGGAGCTTGCAGGAGCATGCTTGCTACCCATAGGATCTTATGAACCACTCTCTGGAGGGAAAAACCCAGAAAAATTTGGAATAAACATTTGTAAAAATATTACAATTGCCTTCTAGGGAACCAATAGTAGAATGAAGTATAATTTTGTGGAGTGCACTTTTTTGTCCCCTGAAGCTATTATTTCAATACTTGTGCATGAATTAAACTATTTTCTTTCATTCTCTAATGTAGAGATTTAATCCACTGATGTATATCTGATCATGACTTGCTTTTTGCCACAATAATATCCTGTGGCTATAATTACTGGATTTAACTGTCCTTTGTTCAAAAAGATTTTTATTTCCCATTCATACAGAATATGTAGCATTTGGATGCCTTTGTATATTCTTGTCCCAAAACTTGCTGTAAATTTTCTAAAGAATCTAAGCCAGGTCATTAGATTTCTCTCTCCCTTTGGCAAAATAGAAATGCTCTGTCATTTGCTTTCTTATAATTCATGTCATTAGATAAAATCTTCAATATCTGCTTATGTTTTCCCATAGTTTTGTCATGCTGTAATATTATTCATAGATATCTTTAAATTCTGCCATACAACCAATTAGTATACACAACATAAACAACTGGTGGAGGGTTTTGTTCTAGTATAGCCAGAATTGTTGGGTCCTGGGTAATAAAAATCAAACTAGCTCTTTCAAATAAGTTCTCTCTGTGCAAGAGAAGAGAATGTTAGACAGACTCATCTCATCTCATACATGTGAGATACCTACAGAGAAGTGTCCATTGATCAGGCCACAGGAAAAAGGCCAGGGGTAGAAAAATTATGGTAAATAGGCCTTTAGAAGGTCTACAGAGCAACATATTTTTATAATGCTTTTCACTGAAACCAAATATTAAATAATTTCTTAACTGTTGGAATGGATATCATCTAATTGCTTCATATTTTATTTTTAAATGTGGGAATTGGATATTTTAATTGGCAAGAATCAATTATTTTGAAGAAACCAGAGGTCAATAAGGATGGAGTTCCTACTTTTAATAATCTTTACAGCATACTAGAGATGATGAGGCATCTATGCAGTAATTATCAAATAATAATAGCCCACATTTCATGGAATGGGCCAGTCAAATTTCTCACAAGATGGACATTATTGTCATCATCCACATTTTCAAGATAAAGAAACGGAATCACTAAAAGAGTGAGAAACTTACCCATAGCTGCACAACTAGCAAGTGGGAGGCCACTGTGTGACTCAGGCACACATGGCTCTAGATCTGCAGCCTTAGCCGGCAAAACATGCTACCTCACTAGGAAGAATATGGTGAATACTAAGGATACACACAAAAGACGCAGAAAAATTATATTGCAGCTGGGATATTTAGGAAAGGCTTGGTAGACATGGTGGCAATTATACTGTCTTAGGTTAAAGTGTCCCCCTATTTTATTTCAATGATACTGATACCTTATCCCTCTTTCAGTCTTGGTACGTGCTACATGTAATTCTCTTCTTGTTTAGTTATCTTCCAGCCTGAGAATCATCTACTCATCCTTTAAAGAAACAGTGCAGATGTCTCATCTCTCCCCATCTGGGCCTGGGCTAGCTACCCCTCCACTCCCATGTGCACACCTGAAACATACTAGCACATTTTTCACTGCATTTTTAACTTTAACTCTCCCCTTATGATTAGAAATACCTTTTAGCAACTGTCATTATCCCCAAGGCCCATATCTACAACTAGCTACCTCATAAAATTTAAACAAGATCTGAAAAAATAGAGATGGAAGCAGTCGAGCATGGAAATCTGTTCCAGGTGATTGTTAGAGGTTGGTGAATCCACACAGTGAATGATGAGTTTATTAATGCTCTTAGATTAATAATGCTTGTTGTAAATTATTTTGCACATAAGTACACAGAAGTACGTTTTGGTTAAATTAAAAACTTTGTTTTTAAGTATTATATTAATCATCCACTAAGCAAAGCAAACCAATCATAATTTGAATTCATACTGCTGTAACAATAGAAAGGAAAAATAAAACCCAGAATTAAGCATCCCTTATTCTTTGAGATGTTTTACTTATATGAAATTGTAAAGTTATTAAAAAATAATATTAGAATATAATTCAATATAATTTAAAACTTGATCCCAGGTAATAATATACTATATTGCTATAATAACTTGATGTTTGTAAAGAAAATAAATGATCATGGTGGGAAAACAGCCACATTTTTCTGCCTCAGCTAAAGAGAGATTAACCTATCTCCCATATCCCTTTCTGCCTCTGCGCATTCACATTCTTACATGCTCCATTTATTTCTAAATGTTAATATTTGACTCATACTCTAAATAAATTGAGCTAAACAATAGCACATGCTGTCAAACATATCCAGTAAGATAGGGCATAATGATTTGTTAAGTAAATACTGTAAGAGTTCCTTGAAAATTAAGCAGGATTACATATATTTAGACATATATGCGTTACATGCACACAATGTCGAGCTTGATTTATTAATTGTAGAGTATCTCTTTCCCTATTTCTGTGACCAGAGGATCCTAAAGTGCTGGAAAATGTATTTTCTTTAGTAATACACTTATCAAAATACTGTGATTTATTCCACAGAACAAAGAAGTGTAGGTGAAAAAAAAGGAGGGTTTTTTTTTTGTTTGTTTTTTCCTATTGCATAGTATGGGCCATGAAGAGTCAATATTTTTAAAGGCCTATTCACCTGTGCTTTAGAATATAGTTTTGAAAAATCTATTTTTAAATTATATAACTAATACATGTTCAATATAGAAATCTTTGAAAGCCTAGAAAATCATGTAGAAAGCAGTCTCTTATTAGCTCTTTGACCCTGGCAACTTAACCTCTGTACCTTAGCCTTCTTATCTGTATAATGGACATACTTATAGTACCTACCTTATTGGGTTGTTAAAAGGATTAATAAGTTAATATTTGCAGAGAGCTTAGAACACAGTAAATGCTCTATTTCTGTTAAGTAAATAAAATAAATACACTATCCAAATACAGTAACTTAAAAATTTGGAGTATATTATTCCAGCATTTTATTACATGGCATATATATATATGAATAAAATGACATATTCTGCATAATGTTAGCAGCCTGATTTTTCATTTAGCATTGTGCCAAGAAATACTTCAAAATAGAGTTAAGCAATTAAAAGAAAGCATACATGGTACTGAATTCCACTGAAGTCTTGTTCCCCAAACCTTTCATGGATGTCCGCTGTGGTCAGGCCTACACTAAGCTCTGTGCAGGATAAATGCCCTGTTCTCTTCACAGGTTTGTATTGACAATTGGAACTGAAAATCCATATGAAAGAATCTGATATATAACCCAGTGTGTATTTATTATGTGCCAGACACTATTCCAAGTGCTTTATTATTAAACAGGGTGGGGCAAAAGTAGGTTTACAGTTGTGAGTCCTCAAAATAATTTATTCTTGTATTATCATTTATTAATTATTATATTATCTTCCATATGAACAACTGTAAACCTATTTTTGCCACACCCTATATTGCTCACAACAAGTATTATCATCACCATTCACAAATAAAAAGATTGAAGCACAGAGAAATTAAATAAATGCCTCAGGTTCAAACCACTAGTTAAAGATAAAGCCAGATTTTGAAGGGCTCTGAGACTTGTATACTTGAATCCACTCTCTTTGCCCATCTGAAGACTATGGCATAATGGGAAAGCAACTCTAATTGCCTCTCTTATTTCATGAGACAATAATCCTCTACCCCCTCTAGGCACTATTCCCCAAGGAAATCCTGCACTGCAATGCCTCTTTTTTAATTCATGCTCTGCTTTCTGTTGGAATAATCTTTCCTTATGCTTTTGCGTATTGAAATCTCTAGCTCATTCTGAAAGTTCCAGCTCCAAAGACACCCCTTTCAAACCTTTACATCTAGTTCAGCATTCCTCATTCTCTTCTTTCCTCCTATAGGACGTTTTGGAAAATATAACCTTATTACGGCATCTACCTTAGCCTGATGTATGATGCCCTCCTTGCTCTGAAAGCAGGAATTGAATCTACTCATCCCAGTGTTGCCAGCACCATGTACAGTGCTTGCACTGAGTTCATAAATATTTGCTGAATGAAATTGATAGAATTGCAATGGTCTAGGTCAGTATTGTGGACAGAAACTAAGGCAGAATAATGGAAATGAAAAGGACCTAGAACATGGTTTTCAATAATTAACACAACTGATTTGTTTTTCTCTTTGTGTTTTTCTCTGTGGGGAAGTTTGGAGGGGTTCACTGAGCATCATCAGATAGCGTGGAAATCTGTCTCATGGTTAATCAAGCCCTTCCTGTAGAAAAGCTGGATGGTAGAGCATGGCCATGCTTAAAAAACCAGCGCAGTTACTCATTAAACCTAGAACACTTCATTTAACCTCTTTGAAATTCAATTTCCTCATCACTAAAATGGGACTAATACTTTAACTGGAACATTGTTGTGAAGATTAAAAATAATTGACAGCAAAGGAAGAGCTCTTTAAACATTAATAACAGTTATAAAAACTCCCCTTTTGTAACTATAGATTCCCAACCCAAGGACAAATTTTAAAGTGGTTAAAACTATAAGATGTGTTAGACACATCTTATAATATTAATATTATAATATCATAATTCACTTATAATATAAGTGAACTTGTATTTGAAAACCTGCTTTGCCCTTTTCTAGCTATATGGCCTCAGGCAGGTTAACTAAAAAGCTCTACGCTTTATTTTTCTAAAAGCAGTTGAATTGTAAAAAAAATTGAGTGAATGTTACGTGCCTAAGTAGCATATAATATTGCTAAATAAATGTGAGATATAAAGGTAAAAACTCAAACCTCTTGGGAATTAAAAGAGGTTAAATACATAAAAGGATTATTCCAATGTCTAGCATATAATAAATTATCAACAAATATTAGCCATAATAAACATATCTATATAATATATAGATATGAAATACACAAAATATATATAAATTTTATTTGGAATATAAAAGAGATACTAGTGAGTTATTTTTCTTTTTTTACTAATACCAGTAATTCATGATAGTAAATGGTCTACAAAACTCATCAGGAGACAGACATAACCTATTATTAATAGGGTTGGGTTGAATTCATGTCTTATGGAAAAATAGTATACACAGAATCCCAGAATGACTAAACTTGAATGCAAAAAAAATAAACACAAGTCTCATTGCTCACAGATACCCTTAACATAGACATATTATATACACACCATATTTCATCTATGCTTTTTCTCCAGAGAAACACATTATCATCTGCAGTTATGTAGTCAATTTCCAGGAACCTCTATAAACAGGTGTCAAGATACAGTGACATTATATATTTAACAAAAATCCTTAATGTCTTAAAATAAAAATAAAGTGTATAGTCTGGCCTGTAAGGTTTAATTTTGTTGACAGCAAAGTTAATGATTGATTATTTGATAATAAAAGCCCTATAATAGGAACATGTGTATAAAATTAGTACATATGAAAATAAGCATATATTTGCTGTGAAGTAATAATGAATATAAATGGGAAAAACATAAAATAATAATTGACTTTAAATGGAACTTCTATTTCAGTAAAGTTTGTATTTTTATTTTACTAATAGTAACAATGTGCATTATAAAAAAATTAGTAAAACACATGATATCTAGAAGAGGGAAAAAAACTGTCTATAGTCTCTGACCATTCCTGGGAAAACCACTGTTATCTTATGGTATATATATACACACATATATACATATACATATATATACATATATATACCAAAAGATAACAGTGGTTTATCTGTATATATAGATATATAGTGGTTTATATCTATATATATATATATACATATATATATTTAAATATATTTTTATTGATTTCAGAAAGAGGAAAGGAGAGGGAGAGAGAGACAGAAACATCAATATTGAGAGAGTCATTGATCGGCTGCCTCCTGCACGCCCCTGACTGGGGATTGAGCCCGCAACCCGGGCATGTGCCCTGACCGGGAATCGAACCCCGATCACCTGGATCCTAGGTCGATGCTCAACCGCTGAGCCACGCCCAGCCGGGCTATATATTTTTAAATTTATCTTTATTGTTGACAGTATTACAGATTTTCCCTTTTTACTCCATTCACCCCCTCCACCCCGCGTCACCCCCCCTTTCCAGACCTTCCCCACACTATTGTCTGTGCCCAAGCGTTATGCATATAAACGTGTAAGTTCTTTGATTGTTATTTTTAATAGTGTTCTTTGAGAGAAATATAACTGTGAAGGGAACAACATTCAATCTCAGGCTCAATTAATTTGTGGTCAGCAAAGGATAGTGAGCCTAGTAAATGTAGAGCATGCAATGATCATTCCACTCACAGATCTGCATTTGGTGATGGCCAAGTTTATGTACTTCTGCAAGGTCATAGTTAACTTATAATTACTATGATATTTTTTATTTCACTGAGTGAATAAATGACAATTTCTAATGGTCGGAGTAGGAGCAGGTGAGAAAGGAGATTTTGAAGGAGAAGAAAGTATTTTAGGGGATTTCGGACAGAGAGGTAGTAATTGCATCATTTTTCATATAAAGCAACTAGCTGGCATTTTCTTCAAGGTTTGTTTTAGTCGCCAATTGTAAAGGCCAATAGCGTTTGCCATTGTGTACTAATGATAATATAGTATAACACAATTTTGTATAAACACAATTTCACTTAGTGCATGTTTATATAAAATGTGTATGTGTGTGCATGTGTGCGTATAATGTTTTAAAGAAAATACGAGGGAACAATTTGGTGGACTTAATCTCAGGTAAAAATTAAGTTCATAAAGTTTGGGAATGTAAAAACTTACACAGCAGGTAGAAATGAAATATGAGAGAGACATCATTTTACTCATTATTTAAGTTGGACTATCTTAGATATTTAAGTTGAAATCTTTGGATTACTAACCGCCTATTTACCCATTCTTTTAGCATGGCTGTGGGAACTTCGTCCGCGTAATTCAGGCTTTCAACCGCACTCATTTGTATGTCTGTGGGAGTGGTGCTTTCAGCCCAGTCTGTACTTATGTGAACAGAGGGAGGAGATCAGAGGTAAGCGTAACATTTTTTTCATTCTTAGCTTTGCTTAGTGTCAAAGATTACTTAAAACTGTATTTTAGAGTAAGAACTTGGACATATCAATAGTCATGAAAAAGCCCTGTAAACACAAAATATATTACATTTTGCTTCTTTCTGTCAGGTTACTTAAAATACAGCCTCTTGTCTTTAAATATATATAATTCTGAATGGAAATGCTGCAAAAGATAAAGGAAAAATGGTATGGTTTCATAATTACTTAGAATGTAAGGTAATTATAATGATAATATTTACTGCAAATTATAGAAACATTGTACTATACATTCACTTTCTCAAATCTGTTTTAAGTAATTTCTTATATATGTTTCAAATTTAGTGAACTTTTATGAGGTACACACCTGTAAGGAATGTATAAAGCAGGATGCCAAGTGCCTTCTGCAGAGAATTTTATATAATTAATAAATCATACTTTCATTTTAGACTAACATTGGTCTAACACCAGAGTATTCCACCCTTATTATTACATTGGTAAAAATGATTTGGGGACCTGTGAACAAAAGTATCTTCTAAGACTAAATATACAGCTAATGTATGGTCAAATATATTGCTGGTTCAGCTTCACCTGTGATAGTGAAGACTGTGTTTATCCCAGGTTACAATTGTGGACTGAGGAAACAGTTCATTAGACCAAAAGAGTCTTTCCTCATTCTTTTAGTCAAGAGTGTTGTTTTACTTAATATAAATATTTTAAAAGCTGAATTCTTTCAAAATATCTTGCTTTGGTTCCATTATGCATCTTAAATCTGGAAAGTCCAGTTCTTAAATAATGTCTTAATTTAATTTTACAGATTAGAATTGTAAAAAAAATTAAATATTGCTACTGATAGTTTATTTTACTTTAACAAAGATTAATCTACTTTAGTATGAATATAATTGAACAATCTCTCTATATTCTTTTATTATTAATTTTTTCATACATGTAATTTATACAGATATATCTTTTGGTGAATAAAAAGTCACTTAAAAGTAACAGGGTAATTATAATTTACCCCATATTGAGGCATTACCAAATGGTTCAAAATACTATGAAATATTAAAATTCTTAAAGAAATGTAAAGCCATGCTTCTTGGAAAAGTACAGTTGGCCGCATTGAGCTTGTCATTAGGACCACATGCCTGTGATCAATCGATTAAATAAACTACTGCCCAGATGTCTGCAATCTGTCTGCTGAAGGCTGCACAGTCACTGCACAGGCCAACAACAGTGTAGCAGCTTTCAGATCACAGATTTCAAATGAAATCATTTTCCCATGTACAAATAGCCACTATGCACTCCAAGCCTTAATTGGAAAGTCAGTCAAAAAATAATAATCTCCTTTAAAAAACCAGCGTGAAATATATTTTAATTACTTTGCTAAATATGAACCACTTTAGTCTCACTTTAAAAGATATATTTCAAAGGGGAAGCATATTCATTAATTAATCTCTTTAAATAAGATGTGCACATTTTAAGAGTGAATTTAAGTATGAAAAGGGTTATATATAAATTTTAACCTTTTTAATGCTTTTCTTGGTAGTCAAGTCAAAGAGTTTTATCATAATATAGTATTTACTTACATATCTATAGAATGCAGTTTATCAAACATCTAATGGATTTAAGGTCCCTTAGTGTAGAATTACCACATGATGCAAACAGTTGTAGTTTGAAAGAATTATCCTTCTTTTTCATCACTAACATTGTATTTTGTAATGACCAGAGGCAGTACCTACTGCTAACACCTCATGTTGGTACTAAGATACGTCATTTTTCATGTATTTGAACCCAGTTTGAAAGTGAACCTGGTTAGCATGGAATAATCATTAAATATTCAGCTTTATTTCTGTGACACTACCCACCACCTTTTGTCTGCCTGTCAAATAGCAATTCATCGGCTCTCAGAGTATATCTAATGGGCCTTCTTCACATTTGGAACAACACACACTTTCATTATACCCTGTGGCTTTTCCATTATTTAGTGAGACTGAATCAGAGCTTTCCTAGAGCATTTCGGCGGTGTCCTTCCAGAGATCCTGGCTACATTAATTCCTAACCATATCATTCTTCTATCCATGATCTTTATTCTCTGTCTCTTGTTCCTAGAACAAGGTAAAGCAATGCATGTAAATAATGATTTCAAATCATGAATAAAACATTAATCCCAAATGATTATTAGAAAATCCCCACACTTTATCTTTGGTTGATTTTCTAGATGTGTCCATAACATAGTTCCAACAATTGAATACCATTTAAGCCCATGAACCCCTGCCACTCATCAAGCAAATATCCTTACCTTTGACTGACCAAGAATATCACAGGCATCCAGATTACTTCCTGTGCTTTTGAAGTAAATTAGACACCAAATGTTCCTGTTTGTGCGTCTCTTTGTACCGTTCCTCTTATCTGAAAAAAAGTTGTGCACTTTTTTCTTATCTATAAAGTTCTTTGATTAATAACCTTTATCACTCTCTTTTATATCTTCATTCCTTTTTCGCTGCATTTACATTTTTCTATTGAAAAATAGAATTATGTTTTCTTTGCTTAAAATTGTTATCTCAGATCTGCGACTTTTTAAAAACTTTTCTCCTTTCTTTTTCTTTACTTCGTCGCAAAACCTCTCAGACTCGTAGGCTGTACTTTCAGCTCAATGATCAGACCGAGCACCTGAAACAGCCTTCTTTCTCCTAGGCCAATCTATAACATGCCGGTCGTGACTTCCATTTTTCAATGTCTTTATTTACATCTATGACATTCGGACATTTTTTCTATGACTTCTTTCCTAATTTTTCATTATGGACTCTTTGTGGTCTTGTTATTTTCTCTTATTGATTCAATCAACAAATACCTATTTATTTAATGAGAATAGTGGCAGAAACAAAATCATGTCAGAACTTTTTAGCTATCTTTAAGATATTGGTCTTTCTCCTGTGTCAAAGGAGAAGCAACTGGAGCAATATTTTTTTAAATTTTTTTAAATTTTTACTTATCTTTATTGATTTCAGAGAGAGGAAAGGAGAGGGAGAGAGATAGAAACATCAATGTTGAGAGAGTCATTGATTGGCTGCCTCCTGCAGGCCCCCGGCTGGGGATCTATGTATGTCTCTGACTAAAGAATCACAAACAGGCTTACTAATTTTATTGTTTTCCTCAAGTTTATCATTATGTATGTACTTTAGTTATTACATAAATGATGACTTTTTGAAAACCAGATGTAGCTAGGAGCCAGAAGACTGAATCTTACTTTTTCTTGGGTCACTGTTTAGCGACATGATCTTGAGCAAGTTATCTTTTCCTCAGCTGTAGAGTTAATTCATTGTAGAGGATCATCTTATAGAACCTTTCCAGCCTAGAGGACTGTGGTTCTTTTTGAGCTCTATGCACCCCTCTTGCTTCAGGATGTTCTGCCAATATATCAGACTCAATATAACAAACATGAGCTAGTTTTATTTCCTTGAAGGTATCAAAACTTCAGAATCGTCTTTGTTTGTCGTCATCTTCCTGAACTTCATCCAATTCGTAATTGAATGTGAAACTCTATTGATTTGCACTGTACAATTCTCTTGTATCTTTACTGTTCTCACTAGGACCACTGAGATCCTGGTATGTTGTTTTACTGTTATCTAATTCCTGGACTATTGCAATGGAAAAGGAAGCTGTTTTCTTGAATCCATTGTCTATTTTTATAACTGCCTTTCTCAGTCTTGTCAAAGCACGAGGGAAAGCCCAGTCTTCTTAGAGCAGCATTGTGATCCTTTCATTGGCATACTCAGAAATATCGAGGCTGCATTCCTTTCAGGATAATTTTGAAAAACCTCAGCTTGACAATTAAGGACTTCTGTCATCTAATGCAACCAACAAAAATGATAGTTTTTCTTAGACTTTTAGCAGTAGCTTTTAGTAACTTACATAAGAAAAAGATAAATATACCAACAAAATGTTCCTTCTCAATGAAGTTACACTGATCATTTTATTTCAAATTGAACCATTTGCCCACGGTCCCCGAGCTCCCTAGTCCCATTCCTTGCTTAACATTTCTCGTAAGCACTGAGCACCATCTAATGGACTCTATATTTTATGCATTTATTCTCCTTATATTTTATATTTACATATTTATATTCTCCATCAGTATATTATAAATTACTTGAGGGCAAAGATGTTGGTCTGTTTTGTTTACTAAATCCCTAATGTATTGTCAGTGCCTGGCACAGAGTAGATGCTCAATATATTTTTGTTAAACAAATAAATGAGTAAATAAAACATTTCTATCTAAATTTTGAATTATTGTGTTTAATCCAGTATAATGCTTTATATAACAAAGTTAAGTGAGTGGTAACAAAATTTTATATTTGAAAAGTCTTGATTATCTTGGAAATATTACAATATATACACATTGTTCCTCTCTGGACATTTTCTGCTTTTGGTCAATTTTCAACTTATCTTATTTAGGTTTAACATCATTCTTTATTTCCAAGTGGTTTTTGCTAATGTTGCTTTGAGGAAAACTTGTTGGATCAGCTTTATGGCGAGTGTAATAGGATGAGAATTTGACCTGTTAAGGTTAGTTTGTAATTGCTAGATGGATTCTTCTATAGGCCAAGAAAATCTTAATATAGTGATTGCAGAAGCAAGCAAGCAGAAAGCTTATTATTTATGATGATGCTTTGTTTTACTAAGGAACAATGGGTTAACTAAATATAAAGTTATTTATTATTACTATCTTTTCAATTTTATCTACAATAAAGGATCAAGTTTTCATGATTGACTCAAAGTGTGAATCTGGAAAAGGACGGTGCTCTTTTAACCCCAATGTGAACACAGTGTCTGTTATGATCAGTAAGTGAAAAATAAAAGGGGGGGAGGGTTAATATAAAACCAAAAGGAAATTAAGGAAAAACAATTCATGACATGGAGTGCCCATTTTTGATAATTGCATGGATGATAGTACATGAGTAGAATAATAGGACGAAAGGTATTTGTTGAGAAATATTAATTTCAGTTTCTCATTTTCAAGATTATTCATGATATGCATGTATTTTTTCATCTAACATGACAGTCTTTCCTAGAACAAGTCAACAATTTATAAAAAAGCATGTATATGTATATGTGTATATATATGTTATATATTATAAGGTAATTTTCAATGGTTTCTGTAGTTACTTTTCTAGTATTAAATATACTCACTTTTCCTTCTATTTTAGTAACATTTTACAAATGATTAAAAATGATGTTACTGCCTGGCTGGTGTGACTTAGTTGTTGAGTGTCCTCCCATGCACCAAGAGGTGACTGGTTCAATTCCCAGTCAAGGCACACACCTGGGTTGCCAGCTGGATCCTCAGTAGGGGACGCGCAGGAGTCAGCCAATCGATGTTTCCCTCTCATAGATGTTTCTATCTCTCTCTCTTCTCTCTCTAAAATCAATAAAAACATATATTTTTAAATGGTGTTACTCGGATAAAAGACTAACAAAGTATGTGGTTTAGCCAAATATATTCTCTATGGGTTGTCTAGAATTTGCTATACTAAAAAAAAGAGGTGGTGATAAAGTCACTTTTTAATTTTTTTTACTTTCCATAAACTATATCATTTAAGAAGTAGGTTCATTTGCTGACTGCTATATACATTAACAAATCAATGTCTACTATCTTCTGGTTCTGGTTAAAACACTTCTAGAATATGTCTGGTTTTACATGACTTGACTATGGGGACAAATCTGGGATTCGAGTGTCAACTCTACATACAATAGATGGTTTTCCCTTTTTGCTTTCTGTATGTATTGCCAATAGTAAAATTACATCATTTGACAAGAGAACAGGTGGAAAAATAATTTCTGTGGTCAAAATGCTTTGCTTTGATTCATTTAAATAGGCAGCCCATCTTTCTTTCTAATATCTGGAAATTAAATTAAGACAAGTACATCTAGCAGTGACTAATATGTGACCTTGGAAGTTATCCAATGAATCATTTCCATATGGTCATGCAAATTGGGCCAGGAGGAAATGACAGTATATCATTAGGACAAAAAAATTAGAAACCTTTAAGTGTCTTAGTCTTATTTCATTAGAAAGGAAATTATATAGAAATTCTATTATATATATACTAGTTTCAACTTATAGAATTTTCATTTATTTCAAGTTAAATATAAAAATAAACTTCAAAGATTGTATTAACACTAATACTGTAGTTTTTTATCTCATCAAGTATTGTTTAGATCAATAAGGTTAGAACAAGGCATTATAAATCTTAGTGTTAAACTGTGATAAGCCATTTAATAGATTTGCTTTCAGAGAATTGGATTTTTTACAAAATTGAATTTAGTTACTGGCCTTCATTTTTTAAGGGTCTGAGACTTCATTTCTTATGCTCATGTTTCTGTACTACTTTTGAATATTTTGATTAAAATTATAATTTATATTATCACTGAAAGTCATTAAACAGTTAACTTAAAAACTGAAACAGATCCTAGCCAGTTTGGCTCAGTCATCAGAGTGCTGGCCCTCAGACTGAAGGGTCCCAGGTTCGATTCCGGCCAAGTGCACATACCTAGGTTGCAGGCTCTATCCCTGGCCCCAGTAGGGGCAAATGCCCAGGAGGCAACCAATTAGTGTGTCTCTCTCCCATCAATTTGCCATACAGTGCTTTATCATTTTTGTTCAAATGCAATCCACTAAGTAGCATAGATTGGTTAAAATACTTCTATTAAAGTGCCAAGAAACACTGGGGATTTGAACTCCAAATTTCACAATGCAGCCAACCAAATGTGTATGTTTAGTGTTCTTTTGCTATTCTTAGTTAGTGTTGTAGCACAACAAAGGTGTCATATGATATCTTTTAAAGAACCTCTCAGAAACTCCATGAGTTTCTTCTGGTCAGTGGAAGTACAAATGGAAAGCAAAATACTTTTGGATTAAAGATAAAAGCACAAGTTTATTTTTGCATAAGTCCTACAAAGAAATTCTTCATAAAATATCCTGTTCTCAAAATTCTTCCCAAAATGACATTAATTTAATATTTCTTACACAAAAACAGCAAACACTTTATTATTCCTAATTATTGAGAATTTAAGAGAGAAAATGAAGTCAGCCAAATATGCAGGCTTTTGTAATGGTTAAGACATAACTAATAAGGTAGTGTGTAATAGGATTAGAATCAACCCTCTCCACCATACACCATCCCCCAGTATCCTTTTTCTTTCTTTCCTGAATACAGATATGATATTTCATAGCTGTGCTAGTCAGTCTGTTAAATAACAGCATTTTATATCTCACTGCTTTGGGGGTAACTGGATTAGCTAAAGTATGAAATAATAAATTACTAAGTTATTTCAATTTAACAACCATTGTATCTACAGAATATTTGTGTAGATGCTTCATAAGTGTCCACAGAATTTTAAAGAAACTAAACTGCTCAAAATACTTTCATGCACATTTTTGTTCTCTTTCTATCATCTATTTTCATGGGCTTTAGACCCCTATGAGGAAGCAGAATTGGGAGGCACAATACCTGCCATACCCAATTGCTAACTTGTAGGGGTCCAGTTCATGACCTGGTGAGCACATATTAAAAACATTCCATTCCTCATTCTCTCCTGGGCCATTTGGTATTGCTTGTTACTAAACAGTGAGCTTAGAGTGCTTCAAAATGTTCCAGTCCTGCCAAAATGACCACAATCTGACAGTAGCCAGGGAGTAATTCTAGAACATTAGTCAAAGAACACAGCTGTGTTGTGGTTTAGTGGGACTGATCTGATAAGTTTAATTTAAAAAAAAAAAAAAACATACTTAGCTACTGTTTTATACTCAAGGGTCACACATACCCATTCAATACTTACTCTCTTTACTAGCATAAAAATTAATATGGATAAACTAAATGTTAAATGTTATGTGTATACAGATTAAAATATCAGTTTTTACCATCAATAATGATAAGTTAATTTTTAAATATCTTATATTTCTTGTCTCTTCATTCTATTTTTATAGCTTAATATGTTAAGCCACATATAGCTTATTAATGTAATATTATAATGTTAACATAATGTTAATATATTGTGCAAATGAAAATGTAGCACTTTGTTTACCTTAAAGAAACCTTCTAGCACTGAAAATCAATCTATATACTTTCATGATTAAATTATTATATCATTAGTAGTATCTTGAGAATTTTTAATGTTGCCTCTATGTCTTTAATAATAATAAAAACTATTACTTTCAATTCATTTAGTAAATCATAGAATTTTTAATATGTGGTGAGAACTTTTGAGATCCGTAATTCAATTGCCATATTTTATAGATGAGAAGATTGAGATTCAGGCAACTAAATGACTTAGTCCTAATTCCCAGTTTCTTAATTACTGCCAAAAATAGAAAGCCGGTTTTCTGATTCTGTATTTAGTATTTTTATTAAAACAAAGTAATAATTAATTAAGCCACTTTGTTATCTGTTATACATATATTAGTTCTGCCATTTCTGCTACACACTATATAAACACAGGCATTTAGTTTAAGTTCAGGCAGAGGAATTTTTATTTCTTCATAGAATAAAGTTGTTTTGGTAATTATACAATCAATAATGAGACCAGATTAAGCTGTATCCAATTTTTTATTTGGTGGACAATGTAAACGAATTAACAATTATAAACACTTTGTAATATATGTGTTGATCTAATTAAACAAGTTCTTGTTTTAAAATAGCCTTAAAAAACATTTACAATTGTGTTGACAATTTCTTTTTTATAGATGAGGAACTTTTCTCTGGAATGTATATAGATTTCATGGGGACAGATGCTGCTATTTTTCGAAGTTTAACTAAGAGGAATGCAGTCAGAACTGATCAACACAATTCCAAATGGCTAAGTGGTAAGAAAACATTTCATACTTTTTTTTTTTCTGAATCGTGCTTTAAACTAATTTGTTTAATTCCGTAATAAAATTCAGGTAAAAATGGTGAAAAAGTTACAGTACTAGGTCATGCGTAACAATAATTCTGTACTTTATGATTTTAAAATTTTAGGGTAAATAAATAATTGAAACATATTCTAAGTCTGTACTACCCATCATACAATTAATTATCATAGGATATATGAATAAATAAAAATGACAGTGATATACATCATACTTGCTTGTACACAAGAATCTTCTCTAGTTGTTTAAGTGTAATGTATTATCATTAAATATTCTATTTATCATTTAGACTGTATATTTTCATAATGCCAAAGTTAAAATTTTCTAAATTTATGACAGATAAAATGAATAGGGTACATTCAGAAACTTCTAATTTTTTTATACTTAGATTCTAAGTTATAAAACTGGTATGGGATATTTTTTCATAATTTGATACTTAATAAAAATCATAGTTATGATAATTTTATGATTATCGGTATTCAGCTGCTTCCAATTCTTGAGATCACATGGAATTCACATCATGAAAGGTGCTCATTTGACTTTAATGCACAATTTCAATGAATTGCTGTTGTTTAGAGGAAGAAGAAATCACTAGGCCTTTGTCATCTCGCCCTGGGGAAATTTTCTAGCTCACCCTCAATTTGGCAATTCACTTAACAGTGCACAGTTAAGCATGAATCACCACAGTAAAGCATCTTGTTTCACTGACAGGCCAGTATAAGAAAGCACTGATTGTCCATTTGCCTCTTGAAATTATTCCTCCAGTACATCTGGAAATAGAGTATCCTAGAAGTTGTTTTGTTCTTGAAGTAAGGAATTCCTCTATGTCTTCAAATGACGTCATTTTTTCCTTGAGAAGTTTCCCCTTTATTTCATACACTGTATTTTAAGAAAAATGTGTTTTTCAGATCTTGGACTCCCCACCTCTCATTCCGCTTCAATGAATTTGAGTTTATACGCACTAGATTGAAAACTGCACTTTGAAAAACAAACTTTTTTCCCCCATGAAATGACTGTCGGATTCCAAGGGAAATAACTGGTAGAAACATTTTTCAATTTTTTAAAACTCATCAGTGCACAAAGATTTTTTTTTTTTTTTTGCATTTACTGAACTTCCAGAATATATTGCAGACAGAGAAAAATAGTTTGAGCTATCATATTATAACTGTATTTTGTGGCACTTGATATTCCAAATTGGCATGTTGACCGAATACAATGACTTCTTTTAGACTTTTTGCCTAGGAACATCAGATTTTTTTTTATACCAAAAATGGAGAAAGCATGTGTCTGTGGCCTACTTGGATGAACAGTGGATGGATTTTTATCGTATACTTATAGCCTTTGTATTTGTATTTGTTTTCAGAGCCTATGTTTGTCGATGCACATGTCATCCCAGATGGAACTGATCCAAATGATGCTAAGATTTACTTCTTCTTTAAAGAGAAACTGACCGACAACAGCAGAAGCACAAAACAGATTCATTCCATGATTGCCAGAATTTGTCCTGTAAGTATTAACATTATTTTTAATTCAATTTATTTAAACTTAAAGCAAAAACCAAAACAAAAACCAGTTCACCCGTTTTAACCATTTCTCCCACCCTTCACCTTGTCTCTTGCAACCACTGATCTGTTCTTGTTTTTGAACTGTTTTGTTGTTTTTGTTTAGATCCCACATATAAGAGAGATCATACAGTATTTGTCATTCTCTGTATGACTTATTTCATTTAACATAATGCCCATCCGTGTTGTCATGAAGAATAATACTGTATCCTTTTTTATGGCTGAACAATATTCCAAGTTTGTATATGTACCTCATTTTTTTATCCATTCATTTGTTGGTGGACACAGGCTGTTTCACTATCTTGGCTATTATAAATAATGCTGCAGTGAGCATGGGGGCATATATCTTTTGAATCAGTGTTTTCATTTTTACAGACAATTAACTAGAAGTAGAATTGTTGGATCATGTATAGTTCTATTTTTAATTATTTTAGGAACCTTCATACTGTTTTCCATAGTGGTTGCAACAAATCATATTCCCACCAACAGTGCACAAGGGTTCTCTTTCTCCACATCTTTGCCAACACTTTATTTCTTATCTTTTTAATAATAGCATTCCTGACTGGTATGAAGTGATATTTCATTGTGGTTTTGATCTGCATTTCTCTGATAATTAGCGATGTTTTGCATATTTTCATGCACCTGTTGGCCAGCTGTATGTCTGTGTCTTCAATAAAATATTTATTGAGGTCTTCTGCTCATTTTTAAAAGACATTTTTTTTGCTATTGAGTTTTATGAGTTTTTTATATATTTTGAATATTATCCCCTTATTAGATATATGATTTACATTTATTTTTCCATTCAGTAGGTTGCCTTTTCATCTTGTTGATAGTTTTTATTGCTGTGCAGAAGCTTTTTAGTTTGAGGTTGTTCGCTTGTTTATTATTGTTTTTGTTGCTTTGCTTTTGGTGTCAAATTAAAAAAAAAAGATCACCAATACCTACGTCAAGGTGCTTACCACCTGTTTTCTTCTAGAAGTTTTATTGTTTTGGGCCTTACATTCAAGTTTTTAATCCATTTTTAGTTAAATTTTTGTATGGTGTAGGAAAGCATATGGCTGTTCAATTTTTCCAAGACCATTTATTGAAGAGGGTAATGTTCCCCATTTTATATTTTTGGCTCCTTTGTCATAAATTAAGTGACAGCATATGCATANAAGAGGGTAATGTTCCCCATTTTATATTTTTGGCTCCTTTGTCATAAATTAAGTGACCGCATATGCATAGGTTTATTTCTGGGCTCTCCATTCTGTTCCATTGATCTATGTGTCTGTTTTATGCCAGTACCATACTGTTTTCATTACTATAGCTTTGTATTATAGTTTGAAATCTAGGGGGGTGATACCTCCAGCTTTGTTTTTCTTTCTCAAGATTGCTTTGGCTATTCTAATTTGAAGAAATATTTAAAAAATCAAATTATGTACTATTTTTTCTTTTTGCAATAGTTTGCCTTTCTACTTTTATTATCTAATACTATAAATTAATAAAATATTTATAGGAGACATTTGAACAACATTTATTTGCATCAGTCATAAGAGATAAGCACTTATTTCAACATAAAGCTTAATTCAAGGAAATATTTTGGTTGTGGGTTTATATAAATAAACAGTAATGATTAATTTTTGCTTTCCTATTTAATGTATTAGTATTAAAAACAAATAGCTAGATTGTATATTACAGAAAGAAACAGAATAATTCTTGTGAATAAAATATAACAAAACCTTAATAAAAGACAGTTATTGAGGAACTATCTACAACTACAAGTATTAAGAAATGCTTCAGTAAAATGCAGTTTTAATTTATAAACAGTAACCAAAATATTTTTGTGTCTAAACAGTAAGTATATATAGTAGCTCAAAAAATCATGATGTTCACTCATATAGGAGTTCACAGGCATGTCCCAACATTTGTGATTAGCATCCTTTGTGCAGAATTATTTTTTAAAGCCTTTAGTATTTAAAGTGGTATACTTTTCAATTTTACAATATTCCACTGATAGTGGAGCTCACTTGCTTCTCAGTCATTTGCAGCAAGGCAGTAACTCCAACAGAAGATATGAAAGAAAAAAAAAAGAAAAAGAAAAAAAAAAGGAAAAATGTTATCAATAGAGACTTTGTGAATGATCCCAATGCCATTTCCCCTGCCCTGGGTGGGGAAATATGTATATTAAAGAATCTGATTAGGTATACTGAGGAGTAAAGGATGGCACAGAGAAATGAGGAAAATCTAGAACTATGGGGGCCACTTGGTGTTAAGCATAAACCAACTCTGCTGACCACAGTAGAATCTGCAAGCTTCACTGTACACAGTAGTGTTCATACTGAAGACAATGAGTTATAAAGGAAAGGCAAATTAAAGGACATATATTCTGTAACATTTTACAAATATTTTCATCAATTACTGTTAAGTTTATAAAGCTTTAGGGAATATATTCATAAACTCATTTTTTTTGAAACGTTTCCAATCGCTACCACACTGTAGGAGATAAAAGTATAACATATGGCTATTTTATATCGTACTATATATCTTAAATATTCCTCTCTATTGCTATTCAAATATGGTTAATATAGCCATCCTTCAGATTACAAGTCCCCAAGTAATAAGAATCCAAGTTAAATTTTTTAATAGACTTCAATATTTCCTTAAGCAACCTGAAATGTGTTTACAAATCTGTTGCAGAATGACACCGGCGGACTGCGGAGCCTTGTCAACAAGTGGACAACTTTCCTAAAAGCGAGGCTGGTGTGCTCGGTGACTGATGAAGATGGCCCGGAAACACACTTCGATGAATTAGGTACAGAGCTGTGAATTTGAAAAATGTTTGAAAGACAGTTTGTAAAATTTATTAAATTTAATAAACTCTCAGAAGAGGATGTATTTTACTGGATATTTTTAGCATAAGCAATATGTCAGCTTGAATTAATGATCTGGATACTGTCAAATGTCCTTGAATATTTTAAAAATCTGTTTTGTCTCTGAATGCATTGCTGAAACATTTATTTCATTGAATTCACCATGATATATGAATATGTGTGTGTGTGAGAGAGAGAAAGAGGGACAGAAGGAGGGAGAGAGAGAGAGAGGTACTTGTAGTACTTTATATATAACTAATGATATGTTTGTGCTTTTCTAAAATGCATGTGTATTTCGTATACATTTAACTCTAATACTCTGTTTTTAAATCAGTTTATATAAGATTACAGCTATATATTTTTACTATTGCAGTTAATGGACAGAATAGAGGTTAGATGAAAAAGCGTTAGAGTAGAATTTAGATCTGTGCTCCAGTCTTAGTTCTTTTTGGTGACTCTGGGACAAAGGCTTTTCCAGCATGTGAGACATGAAGAAAGATGTACGTCCCAGGTTAAATACAAACTAACAATCTGATTGCTTTCTACCAAGGAACATTTTACTTTTTAATCAGAATAATGTATTACACACTATAGTGTATGAAGTGCCATTTATAAATGACTTTTATTTTTCTTTAAGTTTTTAAAATGTAAGATGCTAGTTATTATTAGTAAATGTATTAATTTACTCAGATTTTGAGGTAGGAGATGAAGTAAGCAACTAAAATGTATTGTAATACAAAAAAGTTACTGATTTTAACAGTTATAAAACCTGAAATAGTTGGTCTCCTCGAAAGCCATTATGTTGATCATAGACACAAAAGTTTCTATGTCAGATTTTCTAGGAAAAAAAGTTCTAACCATGATTTTGTGTTATAACCTCGTCATTCATTATTTTCCCCCGAATTCTTCACAAGTGTGTTTATGTTTCAGTGACTTAGAATAAGGTTCTTTCTTGATTTTAGAGAGATCTACATAGTGTCAGCCTTTGTTCACATATGGGAAGGCTAGTGGTATCAATGTATTGCTTGAGAGGTCTTAAATTCATTGTGAGTTTAAAATACATACTCCTTTCTTTGTATTCCTCAGCAGGAACTTTATTTGCAAAAATGTCACTAAAAACAGAGTTATAATCATAACAATTATTTATTAATTGGAATTTTCTCTCAGAAATTTACTTCCAAGTTTTATTATGTATTAATATACCTTATTTTCTATATTTACCATTGTCTATGTTTTAATACACTTTAAACTATTTTTTGCCTGAGGAATTGTTGATTAAATAAAAATATCACTAAACAACTTTGACCATAGCCCAAAAAAGTCCTTATTTTGTATAGAGAAATAAGTCCCTGTGAAAAAGTTATCCTCCATATTAGAACTTCTAACTCTAGGTCAAAAAGAAATTGAGATTTGTAACACCTTTTAAATTAAAAAAAACCACACAACCCTATATGTAGAAAATACAGAGAGAAAGAAAAAGCAGCAGAANACTTTAAACTATTTTTTGCCTGAGGAATTGTTGATTAAATAAAAATATCACTAAACAACTTTGACCATAGCCCAAAAAAGTCCTTATTTTGTATAGAGAAATAAGTCCCTGTGAAAAAGTTATCCTCCATATTAGAACTTCTAACTCTAGGTCAAAAAGAAATTGAGATTTGTAACACCTTTTAAATTAAAAAAAACACACAACCCTATATGTATATTATCATTAAAGAATCCTTAGAAAATACAGAGAGAAAGAAAAAGCAGCAGAAAATTTCCTATAGCTCTGCTAACCAGAGACACTCATTGGTAATCTTCTTATTTTATTTTGGTGTATAGTTTAAGGTTTACATGGTTCTAGTTCATATTATATTTCATTGTGCCTTTTCCACTTAATGTTATTTTATTACCATGGTTTCCATAACGTTGCATTCTTCATAAATCCTGTTAGTGTTTGTATAACATTTTATTTAATTTACCATGAGCCCATCATTTAGTTAATTTAGTTGTTTTTAAATTGGAATGATGCTGCAGGAATATCTTCCTGAGTAATATTTTTCATAGTTTAAGTTATTTTCTTAGGTAAAAATTTAAAATACAGTTAATATTTGGGAACTTTAAAAGAATTATATTTCTCTTTTACAGAGGATGTATTTCTGCTTGAAACAGATAATCCAAGGACAACACTAGTGTATGGCATTTTTACAACATCAAGGTAATTATTAAACATAGTAATTATTGCAAAAACATTTTTTCAACTTTTAATTTTACATAGCATTTAGGATTTAGCCTTCCTGTTTTATTATCTTTGTTTTATTACCAAAATATGTTTATGCTCAACTAATGCTTTCAAAATAGTTTTGTACGGAACATTTATAATGATTATGACATTTTCCTCAAAGAAAGAGAAATATGAATTATAATGCAAAAATAAAGTTATATACTATGTTGTGTTTTAAGGAAATAATTTGAAGGCTCATGATTCAAATAAAACATTTGTCATTTCCATTAAATAACTTTTACTAAAAGAGCAATCTAAAGTGATTACTCTTTAGAAAGAAACAAAATACTGAACATGTTTTTATATTCCATATGACAGCATTTCATATATTTGAAGATGTATTTGTTTTCTAATTTCTCTGGAAAGCATAACTCCAATTATCATATATTTCAAGGCATTCACCTTATCCTCACCATNATATTTGAAGATGTATTTGTTTTCTAATTTCTCTGGAAAGCATAACTCCAGTTATCATATATTTCAAGGCATTCACCTTATCCTCACCATTTCCAGGATATGTGTGTGTGTGTGTGTGTGTGTGTGTGTGTGTGTGTGTGTTTATACTAGGAATGTTACTCAGAATTCAATACAATATTCCAGCAGTCACCTGGCCAGTGCAGAATGTAATGTGTCCCTTTCATTAGACAATCAACCACAAAGTGAAAATTTAAAGATTTTAGCATTCTCTCCTAGTGAGGGAAACGTGTACGACTATAAACTATAATGAGCCATTCAATGAAAAAGAAAATCACAGGGATATTGATTATAAATCATATTTACATTTGCCCTGTAAGATATCTAAAAATATGTTCTTTAGGGTAAGTTTAACTTCTGTTCTAACAAAGAGAGTAGTCCTGACTTAACTTACAAGAATTCATAAAGAAAAAGGAACGGCCTGGCCTGCGTGGCTCAGCCGATGGGCATCGACCTAGGATCCAGGAGATGGAGGTTCGAGTCCCAGTCAGGGCACATGCCCGGGTTGTGGGCGCGATCCCCAGTGTGAGGTGTGCTGGAGGCAGCTGATCAATGACTCTCATCATTGATGTTTCTATCTCTCTCTCTCCCTCTCCAATTCCTCTCTCTGAAATCAATAAAGATATATTTTAAAAAAAGAAAAAAGAAACCAAATTCTTAAGAAATAAATGTTTGTTTCAAACAAATGTTTTCCTAGTTTCAGTTTTTCCCATCACCAATAGCTTTAATATTGAAAATTGTCATTTCTGACTATTAATGCTAATGATTAATAATATACCTTGTTTTTTTAACGGGCATCTAAGTTCTCATTGACCATTGAAGTTTTCCATTATACATCTAATTTAAGAGAAATACGTGAATTGTAGAAATGTTGGTTTCAGTCAATCAGCCTTAGTGACAATGGAAATAGTTTTCATTAAGGATCTAAACAAATTTTATATGAGATTTTACTGACTAAAGGTAATTTAATGAGTCTTTTATGGATCCCCTTTTTTCTATGACTAACAGGGAAAGTACATAAATAATGACAATTTAGACTTCTCCAATACTATTTAGGAGAACATGTAAGAACATTCTCACATTAAAAGTCAAGACAAGAGATATTAATGAGATTTGTTTCTGTCAGTTCAACTATAAGTTGTATTTAAAATTTAAATTCATTTTTTAAAAATATATCTTTATTGATTTCAGAGAGAGGAAAGGAGAGGAAGAGACAGAGATAGAAACATCAATGATGAGAGAGTCATTGATCGGCTGCAGCCCGCAACCCGGGCATGTGCCCTGAATGGGAATCAAACCCCAATCTCCTGGATCCTAGGTCAATGCTCAACCGCTGAGCCACACCTGGCTGGGCTCATTTTTTTATTCCTAAGATAAACTAATTCAAAACTTCTTTAACTTATACAATATTGCAGAAACATTGAGAACTTTTCTATAACTTATTGTCTGTTACATTCATGAGTAAATTAAATGTTTTAATGCTTTACGTATCAATGGCTTATTTCAAAATAGTAGAAACATTTTAGCTTTACAGTGTACCATAAAACTGAACATTTCCATGATGAATTATATCAACTTTTTATCATGAACTTTGCCATCTATTTCTTAAATTGTATTTAAATTAAAATAATGAGAAAATGGATCTATTTTTGTTTTCTTTTTTTTAGCTCAGTTTTTAAAGGATCCGCAGTGTGTGTGTACCATTTATCTGATATACAGACTGTGTTTAATGGTCCTTTTGCCCACAAGGAAGGGCCCAATCATCAGCTGATTTCCTATCAGGGTAGAATTCCATATCCTCGCCCTGGAACTGTAAGTATCCAGAAAAGTTTCTTTGTTATTTTCCTTTTTAAAATAATATATAATTTAATAAGAAACAAATATCAAGTCCATGGTTATTAAATACAACCATAGACTTACTGGTATATTCATTATAATTTTCCAGGTCATGGTTTCCCAGATTTGGGATTTTTCCAAATATGTTATATATGTTATAGCACTCTGTGCATTTTTTTCTAAGTGCTGTTGCTAATAAATCTTATTTAGATTTTAAGACCACTGAGTATGTTAGACAAGGTAGAGATATTTTCTAATTATATTGGCATAAAAACCATAGCTTAGAAAGTGCTCACCATTTGGTGGCAACCTAAGAATTTGGATGCTAGTTGCTTTTCACAATTCTTCCTTATATTAAGGAGTCTCATCAATTTTAGTCAAAAAATAACCACTTGAGAATTAATTTAGAGATAAATCATGAAGAGATATTTCAATTTTAGCTGAAAGATTAATCTTTGATATATATATATATTATTAGCAAGTTAACTTTGAATTAATTTTGGAAAGTGATATCAGCATTGCTACTTATCCATGAAAAAAACATTTTTTTAAACTTACTTAATCATGACTGGCAACACAGTCCTATCATAGAATTCACAATCTCCTTTTAAATAACCTCTGTATGATGCTCATAGTTCAACAGAAGAGGAAGAAATAGAAACATTTAATTATTTTGTATAACATAAGAAAGAGAAATCAAGAGATATAACCATTTTAAGGTACCCCAGTTAGGGGTGTGTTGGATAAAAAGCAGAGATTACATAAGAGAAGGGAAAGTGAAGGGGGAAACTGAGCAACTTTCAAACTCCTTTGTAACTCAGGAGCTCTCATTCTTTCATTCAGTGTATTTCGTGCACTTCCAGATGACTCACTGATAACATATTCAGCGATAAATCATATTTTTGAGAATTAGTTGACATTTGAAGTTGACCAATCCATCTCTTCACCATAATCCAGAAAATTAAGAGGTGGTTGTGATTGCTTATACTTTTTAGAAACAAGATTTTATTGATTTTTTTTAGAGAGAGGAAGGGAGAGAGAAAGAAAGAGAAAGAGAGAGAGAGAGCTCTAGCCGGTTTTGCTCAATGGTTAGAGAGTCAGCCTGAGGTCTGAAAGATCCCAGGTTCGACTCCCGCCAAGGGCATGTACCTTGGTTGTGTGCAGGAGACAACCAATCAATGTGCCTCTCTCACATTGATGTTTCTCTCTTTCTCTCTCTCTTCCCCTTCCACTCTCTCTGAAAAGCAATGGGGAAAAAAATCCTTGTGTGAGGATTAAAAAAAAGAAAAAGAAAGAGAGAGAGAAACATCAATGTGAGAGAAACATCAATTGGCTGCCTCCTGGGCCCCCAAATGGGGACTGAACCTGCAACCCCAGGCATGTGTCCTGACCTTCCAGAGCATGGAATGATGCTCCAACCAACTGAGCCACACCCACCAGGGCTGATTGTGTACACTTTTATTAATTACTCTTTGAACAACACATATATGGGATATGGTAAGGAGCAATTGATTTGTATACTCAACATAATTTGTTTCCCTGCACAAATAATACCTTAAGAGAAATTCCTTGGATAAATCAATAAAACAGATAAAAGAGAGCCACACTAATTGAATCAAGATTCATCGGTCGGCTGGGCGTGGCTCAGCGGTTGAGCATCGACCTAGGATCCAGGCGATTGGGGTTCAATTCCTGGTCAGGGCACATGCCCGGGTTGCGGGCTCCATCAGTGGCTCTCTCATCATTGATGTTTCTATCTCTCTCTCCCCCTCTTGTTTCCTCTTTCTGAAATCAATAAAGATATATTAAAAAAAAAAATTCATTGAATCAGGGTTCATGGCCACAGAGCCTCAATGAGTGTGTGTTGGAGCCAGCTTACACCAGCTCACAAGAGCAGATTGTGTGTACCTTGTCTCAAGTAAGGACATCTCCCTAATAACTTGAAATCAGTGTAGTGGGAGCATTTACACCATGGAAATTGGCAAATATTACAAATCGGGGATTTTTTTTCCCTAAAGAAAAGACTCCCTTGTCCCAATGCTTGTCAGACTCTTTACCCAGATCAAAAGGACTCTGAAAATCACAGTGAGAGAACCACTCAAGTCATATAGGAATTATTCTACATAAAATATGGGGATATATAAACCCTTTTTAGCAAAAAAATAAACCAATGTGAAACTAGAAAAGGCTGCTAGGAGTCCCACTTTTCACTATTTCCAGGCTCCTAAGAATAAGCATTTTCTTTTCCCTATTCTAAAGCAGTGTGGAATGAGCCAGGGCTTAGTGACAGACATCTGGAGCTGACTGTTAAAAAAGGGAGTAATCAGTACTTGAGGAATATTTCTATAATGGAGTTTCCTACATCTGGTGCTGAGAAAAGAGCAGCTCCTTTAAAATTAAAAAAAAAAAAAAAAGTCAAATAAGGGATCCTTAGGGAGTAAAAGAGGCAGGGTGGAGGAATGACCTCTGGAACTTCTCCTAGAAAAGCATTCCTCCCTGAAGATTCGTCCCTCCACCCTTTACTGAACACACCACGAAGTCAGCTCTCTGACTCAGAGTGGCCAGTGTCTGTTTCTTCCCTGGGCTTCCAGGATTTAATATCTCATTCATGTAGCCAGAAGACCTACAGCCAAGTGACCCAAAGAATTTCCTCTTCTCTGGGGTTGGGGATTTTGCCTCTGAAGTCCTCCCAATGAAGGATCAATTGTGATTGGCATACTTTATTTCTCTGCACAGTAGTCCAGTTGCCAGGTCAACCTCGTAAATATATGACCAGATTCTTAAAGAAAGGACACTGGCAGAAATTTCATACCTTTATAATGTTTCCTGTAGGTCCTTCATTTAAAGCAGGCTGATAGCTGTGTTAGCAAACTGCCCCAACCAGCAAGTCTAAGTCGGTCGGAAGAAGCCTGCCAATTGTGTCATAATGTTTTTCCATAAGTAATTCAAGTTTGTGGAGGAAACAAGACACCTTTGGTATGTTGCAAAGGGCAGCCAAAGACTACAGATTCTCTCTGTGGCTGAGCTAACGTATTACATTATCCTGTTGCAATGTGTATAAAGCTGCTGCAGAAGATTGTGTTTGCATACTCTATCCTGTTAAAGCAGAACCTAATAAAAGTGTTCAGTTTTAATACCTATTTACAAGTGGAGCAGAACTGTCGGCTTCAATCATGTTGCTTTGAAAAAGTCTGGTACCTGGTAGAGCAAAAGAACACAGAAAATTTATAATTCACATAGTGCTGGCAAGAAAAAGAGAAGTTGATTGCTAGCACTTTTGTTGATTACATGCATCGTCCCACTGTTCTTACATTAGAAGTATTTTTATATCTCTTAGATGTTTGAAAATATTCAGTTAATAAATTTTACAATAATGTTAAGCACATAAGGCACATAGACATGAAAATTCAAATTGCATAATGTTTCAGATTATTCAGAACACACGAATAGCCCTGGCTGGAGTGGCTCAGTTGGTTGGAGCATTGTCCCGTGCACTGGACGGTCACGGGTTTGATTCCCAGTCAGGGCACATACCTAGGTTTCGGATTCCATCCCTGCTCAGGGAGCTCCCAGGAGCCAACCAATCAGTATTTCTCTCTCACATGGATGTTTCTCTCTATCTCCCTTTCTCTCTCTAAAATCAATAAAAAGCATATCCTTGGGCAAGGATTGGAAAAAAAAAACAAAAAAAAACTAAACTAGAAAAAAACACTAACAAAAAAGCACATGCATGAATAGGATAGACAATAAATACTGCAGCCCGGAGGAGAGATTGCTGTCCATCAGCCTTGAAGGCATATAAAAAATATGAGTCAAGCTGGTCCTGAAGGACAGTTGGATAAGTGGGATAGATAAGAAAGGATGTTTCCAGGCAGAGATGACAGTATACATTGCAAGGCAAAGAACAAAAAGAATAAGTGAGTCCCAGAAGCTCTGCATGGCCTAGAGGGACTGGAGCAAAGGGTTCTTTTAGTAGTGGGGGGAAATGGGAGGAAGAAGAGGGCCAGATGGTGCGTAAGTGCAAGACCAACTATGTAATTGTTTGGGTTTTCAGTAAAAGGCCTAGATTACCAAGGGTCTAAACATAAGATCAGTTTCCTCAGAATACAAGTTTTATAGACCAGTTCTAGAAACTAACCCAGTTTCTGGAATGCCTCTAAGTTCATCTATTTATCCATTTATGACTCATCTTTCAAGTGTTAGGTCAAGCTCCTCTTGACCATGCCTGTTACTCCTTCTGACTAGTTTTGCATTTATTTTTCTGCTGTTTTTGGCCTCAGCTGTTACCTCTTTTCTCCACTTTGTGTTCTATGACCGAACAATGCCCCAGCGATTACAATTCTCTAAATACTGCAAACTTTGTTTACTTATCTCTAAACCATGCCACTGACCCTGGCAGCCTTAAGTTCTCCACTATTCTAAATTTGTTTAAAATTTTTGACTTTTAAACATATATGTCAATTGATTATGAACCCAGTTCTCTTATTTATTTTATATTTGCTTTGCCTATGTCCATCTTTCTTACCAAAATACTTGTGTCTAGAAGACAATTGTAGCTTTTTATTCTTACTTTTTCTACTGGGCTTATCAAAATGCTTCTTGGATAAAAGCTGTCCAGAGAATGGACATAGGAATTAATATATGAATATATTAATGATGAAAACTAGTACAATGGATGTGAAGATCAGGAGAACATTTAGGAGCAACAAAGATCAGCAGGTGAGCAGTGATAGCTCAGAGTAGGAATGAAACTAGGTAAGGGAAGCAATTGCTGACACTTCCCTAACACAGCATTGTTATTGTTCCTAGCATTTCACCTAACACTTTAGTAATCAAAACACTTAAAATGTCTTTACTCAGGAAAGGAGTGCTTATCACTGCTTGATAGACAGAAAGCTAGAATTGGAGGAAAACAAACACTTAAAGAAGTTTAACCAAAATTACTTAATGACTGTTTGTGGAGTAAAATTATCCTTCTGAGGAATTGGACACCAGCCCAATTAATGGACAAAGGTTTTATTTTATGGTAGCACATGGATGTTATATTATCTTTAGATTTCAAGACACAAGCTTTCACAGACACAAGGTAAGGGCTAAGTTAACCATATCTTATTTAGACTTGGCAGTGTTACAATGAGCAAACTTTCCAGTTCAGATAGAGAGTCTGCAAAGGGTAATCAATTTTTGTTCTGGTCACCATCACTATCATTTATTCTGTCCTATCTGCAGAGTTTATGGCATGAGTCAATGGAAAGATTAATTATTGTCAAAAAGAATTCTTTTGTGATTTTGAAATAAACTTATCCTAGGAGACACTTGTTCTAAGAAAAAAGTTTATTGTGAATACTATAAACAGAAATCTCAAATGGGAGACATTTGAGTAAATATAAAATAACTGATCTGAATTGATTCATTTGGATTACCTTATTAATAACTATGGTTTTGAAAAACCATAACATAATTTTTATCTGAATTTTTATTATCATGAAGTAAATCCCATAAATAAGACACACAATTTAATTACTTTATCACATGTGAAAATAATTGCTACCTGGAAATTATATGAAGTGTAATATATGTGCTAACATTGGATCTCTCTGGAACTTACAAATGAGAGTGCTTGCAGATATTTAAGGGGACAGCTCAGCTTAGCAGACCATAATTAGTGGTGTTTTATGAAGGTCTGGAACGATTTAAATTGCCCATGCATTTGTTCTTTCCATGTATTTATTCAGTGAGCAATGTATTTTCCTTTTTCCACTTTGTATGAAGAATGAGGGTAGAAAACACCCATAATCCTAGACTTTTGAGAAGTATGGAACACATCCATCAGCTTAGAACACCCTCCAGTGGAATTCTGTGTCCTCATTTGGTCTACATTGTGGGCAATTTATAAACATGTATATTTAAATATAATGCTTTTTTTGTACAAGAAGAATATATGAACCCCAGATGAAAGTCTAGTTAATGGGATAACAAATGAGAGGTTTAGTTTTATTACTTATGTCATTATCTCTCCTTAGTAAAGTCATTTAATTGCTCCTCGTGCCTTTCTACAAAAAGAGAACTATATTTACTGGTCCCGTTAAAAGTTCTAGTAATGTTAACTGGTCAAAGTTAGTCTAAAAATTGCATTCAGCATGATTCAGTCTGAATCATGGCTGCATTAGTACTTTGCTGAGACTTATTTGCAAATGTGGGTCCTTCTGGCACTCCTGGCCCAGAGGCACTAACATTATTGGATAGCTGTTGCAAGGACTAACCTAGAGGTTGCCATGTTTTATTTGGTCCCTAGAATTGTTTATCTTTTTTTATTGAGTCAATATTAAAATTTTGGCAGATTTCACATAAAGTTCCACATTTCTATCTTCTGTTGAAATCTGCCTGCACTAAGCTTGTATTCCTACAGCTAGAAATGAGTGTTCGTGGCCACCTTTGAATAAGATGTAGCTTTCCAGTTGTTACTGGACTTATTACTGTTTACCAGCAATGCTGTGCCCACTGCTGCTGGTCAGGAAGCTTGCTTTATTGCCTCCCTTTTACCTTGTACTTCTTTAAAGAAGATAAATGAAAACCAGAGCAGGAGTGCTTTTTTTCAACAAAAATTTAACGAAGTTTTTTTGTTTGTTTGTTTGTTTTGTTTTTGTTTTTCCCCCCAGAAAGTAGAGATATTGACAGGTATTTAATAGGGTTAGACAAATAATGTCTGTATGCTTTAAAATATTGTAACTGCCCTGCCTGGTGGCTCAGTCGGTTGGAGCATCATCCCATGCACCAAAGAGGTTGCAGGTTCCATTCCCCGCCAGGACACACACCGAGGCTGTGTGTTCAGTCCCCTGTAGGGACACAAACCGGAGGCAACAGATTGATGTTTCTCTAACATTCTCTCTTTCTTCCTCTCTCTCTCAAATCAATAAACATATCTTTGGGTGAGAATAAAAAATGATTATATCCAACGGCTTTGCTCATATCACTACGGCTCAGTTTCTATTAGTGAGCGAGTTTGAGTTCCAAGCTCCAGCAGCTCCCAGCCTACCCTTGAGTTTGGCCTCAGGTGCCCTGTAAATGGAATCTTCTCCTCAGAAGCCCTTGCCATGCTCCCTGTCCAGAACTCTGAGGCCATCCAGCAGTCCTTTTCCAGATCTCATTTTGGCTTTCTATCTGCCCCTTTAAACTTGATGCTCTGAATCTTTCCTCTCTTGGCCAGAATAGAGGCCCTTATTTCTTACAGCCCCTGCACCAAAATTAGATGCCAAATATAATAGAGTAATTCACTACTCTTTGTCAGATATTTACTATTTGTCAGCTTTGTTATAGGTCTGAGGGTGAAACAGAACAAAATATACCCAGTTAAGGTCAGTACACAGCTTTTATCCCAGAGGGAGAAACAGATGTAAAGATACAAGCAGCAAATATAATTTACAGTTAGGTAAATAAGACTGTGGAGCAAAATAAAGCACACTAAGGAGATAGTGGAAATGGAGAGGGGGAGCTATTTTTATATGTGTCATCACCCTTAAGGAAGAAACTTTTCAAGTGAAAATGGAATGAGGTAACAGAGAAAACCATGGTCTTGCATGGAGAGGAGTATTTCAGATGGGGAACAGCAAGTGCCAAGGTGCTGGGCAGGAGCATGCTGGAGTCTCAGGAAGAGCAAGAACTGTTATGGGAGTGCTGGATGCAGGCAGGCCAGGGACTTGCAGGCCATGCTAAGCTGTAGGGATTTTATTCTAAAATTAATAGAGGTCACCAGGGTCTTTTCAACAGTTTCAGAAGGGAATTGTCAGGTCTAATTTACCACATCCAATCCAAGCTCCAACTTCAGACATCCCTCTTTTGGGAGAAGGGATCAGATAAAATAAAATCCCTGCACACTAGAGTTCTGATTGAGTTTGATAATGATAGTCTAATTTATTTTAGCCAGTAGCAGCATTCGATTATATCCACATGATTGTTTTTCTAACAGATGAGGAAGGTGAAAAGTTATATATACAATGGCCTCAGCTCCTCTCTGAGAACAAATAGAGTAAGATTAGTGGACTTAGCCTCATTCAAATGACCAAATTTTACACCTTGTATATTCATTTTCTATGGGTAGTCTATATAGTTAATGTATAGTTACGCTGCTTTACTCCTCAATGGGAAGCAAGTTCACTTAAAACAACTTGAGCTAAGTATTTTGAAAAGTAGATCATTTGATCATTACTGAAACTAAGTAAGTATTTTATTAACTTATTTTTTAAAACAATACTTTTTAGTGCCCAGGAGGAGCATTTACACCCAATATGAGAACCACCAAGGAGTTCCCAGATGACGTTGTCACTTTCATTCGGAACCATCCTCTTATGTACAATTCTATCTACCCAATCCACAAAAGGCCTCTGATCGTCCGAATAGGCACTGACTATAAGTACACGAAGATAGCTGTGGACCGAGTGAATGCTGCTGATGGCAGATACCATGTCCTGTTTCTTGGAACAGGTAAGTATTTGAGCTCAAAATATACTTTAATGTGTAAAAAAGAGTGTAATAAAATAGGTAAGAGCTATGGTACTGGAACCAAAAAGTCCCCAGTGTTTACTTCTGTCTGACCATCAGTGAGATAGTTAATGTCTTTATGCCTCAGTTTCCACATTTATAAATTGGAGTTAATAAAATAAATTACTTTATAGGATTGTGTGTAAGTGGATTAGCATATGAAGCACCTAGAATAGTTCCTGGCACATATTATAATAAAATGTAATAATAATGACCTTAATGAAGAGATAAGAAATTTTAAGCATGGGTAAGTGGTTTCTCAACTAAAGCAAATTCTGTGACTTTTTCTTTTACAAATACATGGATTCATTTTTCAGTGATAATGATAATGATAGATATGTCCTAGATAACACTTGAAAATGAACTCAATAACTTAAATACAGAGAGTTTTTAAAAAATATATTGATGGTACTATTTTAATACAAATTCTAGTTTGTCAATTGACTTCAATAGACAAGCTGAGTAAAAGTACTCTTGTTTATAGACCTACATGTTGAATGGCTAGCCTTGTAGCAGTGGTTTCAAAGGTGTCCCCCAGACCAGAAGAGCAAAATCAATATTACCCAAGAACTTGTTAGAAATGTAAATCCTCAGATTCCAACCCAGGAACTTTAGTGATGAAACCCAGCCATCTGTGTTTTAACGAGCCCTCCAGGTAAATGTAATGCACACTAAAGTTTGAGAACCACTACTCAAGAAGAAAAAAAAAGAAAGAAAAGAAATAAACAAAACAAGAAACAAGTTTGCCTGTAAGGCAGTAATTAGCAACATCTTTCTAACATCCCTGACTACCTGTAGTGATGAAAAGTCTTTATTTGTCTTGTTGCAATATTAGAACTAGCCCATGAAATTAGGTCATTTCTCTACTAGTTTAAGAAATAGTTATACAATGTGTCTGTAAGCCTCATTATAAGATGCATAGTGGTGGAATATGTATTCTGAGCTAAGGAATAAATTGTACTCAAACTTCAATCAGTTTAAGACGTGGATATTTTTTCTTGGCTAAATATAATTTTCAAAGTATGCTTCTCTTATAATGTTCTTATTTTACCCTTGTTTATTCTTATACTTAAAACCTCAGATATGAATCTTTCACTCTCATCTAATTACGGCTCATGCTGGTCCGAGGGTGAGAAGCTTCTGACCTGTACTACTTGGCATCCTCTCCCTCGCTTGGACATATCTGTGTTTTCACTCATCTGCTCTCTGCTTGCCTTATACCAGGGAGTAATCCTTCCTTCCCAGACTAACCATTTCCCACTCTGCTTTTAATTGTATCCCCTCCTGACATTTCCAGGACCATTCTTTATCAATTATATTCCTTTTTTTTTTTTTAATGTATCTTTATTGATTTCAGAGAGAGGAAGGGAAAGGGAGAGAGAGAGAGAGAAACATCAATGATGAGAGTCATTGATCAGCTGCCTCCTGCACGCCCCTGACTGGGGATCGATTGCCCTGACCAGGAATCGAACCTCAATCTCCTGGATCCTAGGTCGACGCCCAACCGCTGAGCCACACCCGGCTGGGCTATCAATTATATTCTAATTCACTTTTCCTTACATTTTATTCTCCACTTAAACCTTGGCTTCAACACCTTATGCCAGGATAAAATTAGACCTGACCTTCACCCATTGCACCTCTGTTAGACTGCTGGTTTTGCCAAGGTCTTCAATACACCCATGATAAGAAAATCCAATGGCCTTTAACCATTGACATACCAACATCTCCTCTTTGCATCATTTGTCGTTGTAGAATTTCTCTTTACCTGCTGCTTCAGCCACAAGCCACAGAAGTCCCTTTTTCTCTGGAAGTTCCTTCTCAGTTTCCTTCATTAGCCTGCATTCCTCCTGCCCGTGAGTGTGGCGGTTCTGTCCATGTCCTCTTCTTTTCACATGGTCATTGGCATCTTATTGAATTGTTTGGTTTTCATTATCTGTTCTGTGTAAATAAATCCCAAATGTATATCTCTAGTCATTACCATTTCCTGAGCTCAGTATTTGCAGTTACAATGTATTGTTAGATAACACAAACTGTGTGACCCAATAACATTTTAGAGATCATGCTCCAAACTCAATTTATTCACTTCTAAGGCCCTCTAACCAGTGCTTAACCCACTCTCCCATATTTATATTCTTATTGCACATTCCTCTCAAGGTTCTATTTCTCTTTGATATATATTTTCTATCTAGCATTTCACAGTACCTTGTGATCTCAATAAATATTTGTCAAGATTAATTGAGAGAGAAAAAAGTTAATTTTTTCCTGAAGTGGTGATTTTAGAGTCACACCTCTCCCCTATGTTTCATATTACCCAGAAAAAAATAACTGTTTTATTTTACCTTTTGAAACCTGTCTTAATGGTGGACTCTGATGTTACAACCAGGCTGTTGGTTATTGTTTTTTCCCCCCATGAAACTCTACACGAAATATGTAAATTTCATAAATGGAATTTTCAAGTCTTTATAAACTGTGCTGCAGTGTTTACTCAGATAAAAGGCAATAAGAAACATGCTGTTGCACAAGTTCTTTGGCTTTTCTTACCACATAAGTATATGGCATCTTTACATATACTTTTTACGTTGGTATTTAAACATTTGTGTCATTTTGAAAAACAGTATTTAGGAATATGTTTTTAATTTTAGTGAGAAACTTTATAATGATTGCTTACAAAGCCAAAGGAGTCTCTTGAAGACTGTTTTAATAGGAAAGTGCATGATATGGCCATACTTCTACCAAGAGCATCTTTCTGAAGAGATAGTAGCTCACTTAATCACTGAACCTTATCCTCATGGTCATATCAGACCACACTATGACTTAAAAACAGTGATCTTGCCTGGCCAGCATGTTTCAGAGGCTGAGCATCATACCTACGATCCAGGAAGTTGCAGTTTGATTCCCAGTCAGGGCTCATGCCCGGGTTGCTGGCTTGATCCACAGTAGGGAGTGTGCAGGAGGCAGCCCATCAATGACTCTCATCATTGATGTTTCTATCTCTCTCTCCCTCTCCCTTCCTCTCTCTGAAATCGATAAATATATATTTTTTAAAAAGAAATCAGTTTAAAAAAACACAGTGATCTCAATTTACCCGAAATTCTAACAACCAATATATCAGTATAAAAATTTGGTACCCAAGTAGTTCTTGGATTGCTGGTGAAATTTCTTTAAAAAGAAATTCTTAGTGCTTGTTTGCTGCTAAAAGTAAATAAAATACTTTTCTGAACTGGAATTTGGGAGAAGCACATGTCACTATTCTCAGGATTTCTTAGCTTTGTGTATATAAATGTTTTAGGAAAGATATAATGTTTCTTGGATATTGCCAATCCCCAAGTAATAAAGAGTCCTTCAGCTGTTATAAATAAGTAATGATGCTCCAATTGCCACAATAAGTCAAGCTGCTCTCATGGCTTCTGTACTATCATGGAAAAATTGGAGGAATTCAATCAGACAGTTGTCAAAGAAGATGCCATAAGAAAAACTTATGTGACAGTATATTGGAATGCAAATACAATGGTGTGTAACTGGATTAACTTTGAATGTCATGGATGATTCTGTAACCCACAGAAACTCCATGGTAGTTGTGTGGCTCAATGCCTAGTAACTGTTACAAGTAACCCATTACAGTGTACTACTCTGGCTAAGTTTGAGAGACTGATAATCTAGCCTTCCACTCTCATGGGACTGCCTCATTATGTTTTGTGTGCTACCAGATGCCAAGATAGATAGAGAGATAGATGATAGAGGATAGATAGATGATAGATGATAGATAGATAGATGATAGATAGATAGATGATGATAGATAGATAGATAGAAGATAGATAGATAGATAGATAGATAGATAGATAGATAGATAGATAGATGATAGATAGGTAGATAGATAGATAGATGATAGATAGATGATAGATAGATAAGTGATAGATGATAGATAGATGATAGATATAGATAGATGACAGATAGATGACAGATAGATAGATGATGATAGATATATATATATAGATAGATAGATGATAGATAGATAGATGATAGATAGAT